AGCTCTCAAGGGGCATGTTAAACTGTCAGAGTGGGCGTGTTCAGCTGTCAGAGGGGTGTGTTCAGCTGTCAGAGAGGCGTGTTTAGCTGTCAGAGAGGCGTGTTCAGCTGTCAGAGAGGTGTGTTCAGCTGTCAGAGAGGCGTGTTCAGCTGTCAGAGTGGGCGTGTTCAGCTGTCAGAGGGGCGTGTTTAGCTGTCAAAGAGGTGTGTTCAGCTGTCAGAGTGGGCGTGTTTAACTGTAAAAGGGGGCGTGTTCAACTGTCAGAGGGTTGTGATCAGCTGTCAAAGGGGCATGTTAAACTGTCAGAGTGGGCGTGTTCAGCTGTCAGAGGGGTGTGTTCAGCTGTCAGAGAGGTGTGTTCAGCTGTCGAATGGGGGCGTGTTAAAATGTCAAAGGGGCGTGTTCAGCTGTCAGAGTGGGCGCATTAAACTGTAAAAGGGGGCGTGTTCAGCTGTCAGAGGGGTGTGTTCAGCTGTCAGAGTGGGCGTGTTCAGCTGTCAAATGGGGGCGTGTTAAAATGTCAAAGGGGCGTGTTGAACTGTCAGAGGGGTGTCTTCAGCTGTTAAAGGGGTGTGTTAAACTGTCAAAGGGGGCGTGTTCTGCTGTCAGAGGGGTGTGTTCAGCTGTCAGAGTGGGCGTGTTTAACTGTAAAAGGGGGCGTGTTCTGCTGTCAGAGGGGTGTGTTCAGCTGTCAGAGTGGGCGTGTTTAACTGTAAAAGGGGGCGTGTTCTGCTGTCAGAGGGGTGTGTTCAGCTGTCAGAGTGGGCGTGTTCAGCTGTCAAATGGGGGCGTGTTAAAATGTCAAAGGGGTGTGTTCAGCTGTCCGAGGGGTGTGTTCAGCTGTTAAAGGGGCATGTTAAACTGTCAAAGGGGGGCGTGTTCAGCTGTCAGAGGGGTGTGTTCAGCTGTCAGAATGGGCGTGTTCAGCTGTCAGAGTGGTGTGTTCAGCTTTCAAAGGGGCATGTTAAAATGTCAGAGGGGGCGTGTTTAGCTGTCAAAAGGGCGTGTTAAACTGTCAGAGTGGGCGGTTCAGCTGTTAAAGAGGTGTGTTAAACTGTCCGAGTGGGCGTGTTCAGCTGTCAAAGAGGTGTGTTAAACTGTCCGAGTGGGCGTGTTCAGCTGTCAAAGGGGCGAGTTACACTGTCAGAGTGGGTGTGTTCAGCTGTCAAAGTGTGTGAGTTCAGCTGTCAAAGGGGGTGTGTTCAGCTGTCAAAGGGGGTGTGTTCAGCTGTCAGAGTGTGTGTTCAGTTGTCAGAGGGGACATGCAAATATATGTTTACTTGCATTTTATACTCAAAACAAGTTTTTTTCACACTGACATGTCTTTGTTTGTAGCGACGCTGTGTACGGCGGATCAGTTTCAGTGTAGAGACGGCGTGTGTGTGTCGAACTCCAGCCGCTGTAATCAGGTGTTGGACTGTGATGATGCCAGCGATGAAATGAACTGCTGTAAGTCACACAAATCATAACATTCAGCCTTTCATTTACAATTAAATTCTCGAACTTGATCTGTGACATGCCATTACTGAACACACTCGCTAGCTCGAGATTCCTGGCTCGTACTTCTCTTTGATTTGTTTTGTGTGGTTTTCCAGCGGCGTCTGATTGCTCCAGTTATTTCCGTCTGGGTGTGAAAGGTGTGACGTATCAGCGCTGTGAGTTCACGTCGCTCTGTTACGCTCCATCATGGGTGTGTGATGGAGCCAACGACTGCGGAGACTATTCAGACGAGAGGAACTGCCCAGGTAAACACACACACACAACACAAACATGAAATTATTATCATTATTATTATTATTATTATTATCATTATTATTATTATTATCGTTATTATTGTTATTATTATTATTATTATTATTATTATTATTATTAATATTATTCTCATTATTATTATTATTATTATTGTTATTATTATTATTATATCCTTATTATTATTATTATTATTATTATTATTAATAATATCATTATTATTATTATTATTATCATTATTTTATTATTATCATTATCATTATTATTATTATTATTATCATTATTATTATTATTATCATTATTATTATAATTATCATGATTATTATTATTATTATTTTTATCATCATTATTATTAGAATTAGAATGATCATTATTATTATTATTTTTATCATCATTATTACTATCATTAATATTATTATTACCATATTACCATTATTATTATTATTATTATTATTATTATTATTATTATTATGAGCAGATCACAAGCGGTCAGCTATTATTGTTTCCATCTGACATTCAATCTGACGATCAAATACATTTCTTGATGTATCTTGATGTGTTTTTGTCAAGACTCTTGTCTCTTATTTTGTCTTCATCTCTTAAGCAGGAGCTCTCGGTATGACACACGAGTACTACTGAATGAACGAAACATGTTATCCAGATTAAGTGATCATTTTAGACCCTATTTCCACAGGACAGGCGATTCTCCTATTCATCATATCTCACACACAACCCCTAAACCTTGTTTTTACCATCCAGATAAGAAAAAGAGAAAGTGTTCATCAAATTTCTTCGCTTGTCCCAATGGCCGCTGTATCCCCATGAGCTGGACCTGCGACAAGGAGAACGACTGTGATAATGGAGACGACGAAGCTCACTGTGGTGAGACACACACACACACACATTTGTTTTTACATTCACTTCTGCTGTGGTTAAAGGGACAGTTCACAAATATGAAGATTCACTCGCCCTCAAGAGGTTTTAAACACAAATGAAGTAGCCAGTAGCCATTGACTTCCATTTAAGGAAAGATAATAGTATGGAGGTTAATGGCTACCAGTTTCCAACATTCTTCAAAATATCTCTTTTTTTTGTTCAGCATTAGAAAGAAACTCAAATAGGTTTGGAACAATGAGTAAAATTATGGCAGAATTTTTATTTTTTGAGTGAACTGTCTCTTTATCTAACCTAAGAATATGTTATGTCTCTGAACTCTATACCATTATTTTCATTAAGAAGTGTATTAAAGGGATATTTCATGCGAAAATGACCTCCCCATTGATTCTGTGGTTTTAAACCTTTGAGTTTCTTTTGCTGAACACAAAATAATATATTTTGAAGAATGCTGATTGCTGGCACCTATTGACTACCATAGTAGGAGAGAAAAATACTATGGAAGTCAATGGGTGCCAGCAACTAGCATTCTTCAAACAAGATACTTAAATCGTTTTTGAACAAGTGAAGGAACAAGTTGTGAACTGTCCCTTTAAGTCTTTCCTCGTGAGGATTGTTGGCAAGATTCTGTCAGATTTAGTGGTGTGGTTTGTGTCCCAATCACTAGAAAATGCACTCACAGGCCACTTTATTAGGTACACCTTACTAGTACCGGGTTGGGCCCCTTTTGCTTTCAGAACTGCCTTCATCCTTGGTGGCATAGATTTACTGTAACAAGATACTGGAAATATTTTTCAGAGATTTTGCTCCATGTTGACATGATAGCATCACACAGTTGCTGCAGATTTGTCGGCTGCACATCCATGATGCCAATCTCCCGTTCCACCACATCCCAAAGCTGCTCTATTGGATTGAGCTCTGCTGACTGTGGAGGCCATTTGAGTACAGTGAACTCATTGTCATGTTCAAGAAACCAGTCTGAGATGATTTGTGTTTATGACATGGTGTGTTATCCTGCTGGAAGTAGCCATCAGAAGATGGAGACACTGTGCTCATAAAGGGATGGACATGGTCAGCAACAATACTCAGGTAGGCTGTGGCGTTGACACGATGCTCAATTGGTACTAATGAACCCAAAGTGTGCCAAGAAAATCTCCCCCACACCATTACACCACCACCACCAGCCTGAACCGCTGATACAAGGCAGGATGGATCCATGCTTTCATGTTGTTGAGGCCAAACTGTGAGCCCAGCATCTGAATGTGTCAGCAGAAATGGAGACTCATCAGAGCAGCAACGTTTCTCCAATCTTCTATTGTCCAGTTTTGGTGAGCCTGTGTGAATTGTAGCCTCAGTTTCCTGTTCTTAGCTGACAGGAGCGGCACCCGGTGTGCTCTTCTGCTGCTGTAGCCCATCCGCCTCAAGGTTGGACGTGTTGTGTGTTCAGAGATGCTCTTCTGCAGACCTCGGTTATAACGAGTGCTTATTTGAGTTACTGTTGCCTTTCTATCAGCTGGAACCAGTCTGGCCATTCTCCTCTGACCTCTGGGATCAACAAGGCATTTGCGCCCACAGAACTGCCGCTCACTGGATATTTCCTCTTTGTCTGACCATTCTCTGTAAACCCTGGAGATGGTTGTGCATGAAAATCCCAGTAGATCAGCAGTTTCTGAAATACTCAGACCAGCCCGTCTGGCACCAACAACCACGTTAAATATCTCTTAAATCCTCTTTCTTCCCCATTCTGATGCTCGCTTTGAACTGCTGCAGATCATCTTGATCATGTCTACATACCTAAATGCATTGAGTTGCTGCCATGTAATTGGCTGATTATAAATTTGCCTTAACGAGCAGTTGGACAGGTGTACCTGATGAAGTGTGAGTGTATATAAACAGACTTTAGATCGGCCTTGTTCATTTGAGGTTCTGTTGTTTCATAATCTGTTAAGAATCTCTGGAATAATAGTCTGACAGACGGTTTTGATGGTTCTGCTCAGATAAGTTCTGCTCGGCGACACAGTTCGAGTGCGGGAATCATCGCTGTATTTCCAGCAGCTGGGTGTGTGACGGAGCGGACGACTGCGGAGACGGCACTGATGAAGACAGCAGATGCAGTGAGTGCTGATCCATGTAAACACCATCAAGTCTAGCATTTAAGTGTATTGAGCGTATTCCTCACGCACGAGGGGACGCCGCCATTGGAATCTTTTTGGCTTGAGGCTTCTGCTCTCATTCACTTTCATTGATTTTTAGACATTAAAAACAGCTTGTTCTGCTGGTTATGATACTTTCTTATTATATTATTCTACTTTGTATGTATGGTCATGAAAACACTTGTTTGTAGAGCAGGACTGTTTTCTGCCATTTATTATTCCTAATAATTTCTCCCATAGGCGACTTAATCGGAAGTTCTAAAACAATCACAAAAGAGGCGCACTTCCACATCGCAAAATAATAAGCATAATTAATCAACCACAAAGAACAGATATCAAAGTTGGTTGCGTTAATCTGTTCTTCCCAATTTGGACACATAGTAGCTGTTTGTGGAACAAGAACAAATATTGGGCGGAGCTTCTTTTTCTCCGTGAAAAATTGATTGGATAGTTGGATTTACCATTGATGCTTTGAAAAAGTGTATATACTATATATTATGGTTATATTTTGTATGTTTAATATATATATATATATATATATATATATATATATATA